GGCCGGGCGCAGAGGCGGCTGGCGCAGGTCCGCAAGCGGATTAAAGACCGGCGTCCCTGAGCTCTGGCCTTCTGCACGAATCTGAAAACCTTACAGACGCAGCGGCACGCCAGCCGGCAGCCGCGTGGTGGGGCGATAAAGCTGGGGGGCGCTGGCTGGTAAGATCTGACGCTGATCTTCGCTGGCCTGGGCGAAGGTCAGGGCAAGGGTGCACAACGCAAAAGGAGGCCTGGTTCCGTGTTGAAGAGGTGGACATGGCCCTCCTACCCCAGCCTTAGGGACACCGCAGCAAGAAAGCCAGAGCGCGGCTTTGCAGCGCCAGCCCGCAGAGGGCTCTACTTATGTTTTAAGAGCGGTGTAAGCCTGTTTACATCTGATTGGAAGCTTGGCATTTGGCGTAAGACCATGTTAGGGGCTAAGCAGGCGGGCTTGAGCCGCTCGGTCACTCTAAGGGTCGCTCTACCAAGCGTTCCTTGCAGCAGTAGTGCCGCCCGGTAGAGAGCCGGCTGGAACTCAGTGCTGGGCCAGGCACTGCGCATTCATTACCCCTAATTCCTTAGCCGGCAGGGTGGGCAGTATTACCCCACTTTGCAGGGAGGCGTCAAGCTGAGAGAGGCGACCCTGGCGAAGGCCGCAGAGCCTGTACATAGCATCACGAGGCGTTAGAAAGGTACGGGGTTTCTGCTCTGCGGTCCCGGCTCCGTGTACGGCCACCGGGTCTAAAAGAGATTCCACAGAGCAGATGGGATTCAAGCCCCTGTGGTGCAGAATCCACGGTGAAAAATGCAAATGCACTTTTCTCTTGCATCCACTCACAGGGATTTGAGTGCGTCCTATGTGTGGAGTGACTGTCCTTCACAGACCTTCTCACGGTCACAGTGATAACCTGCACACAGCTCGTCAGGGACGTTTACTGCTTCCACATGTATGTCACCCACCCTGGTGGTGACCTCAGACTGAAGGAGAGTTCCCCTTTGCGTAGCTGGTGTTGGTGACACTCCTGGTTCAAGGCATCACAGCCTTTGAACCAAGACAGCCATTGGGAGAGTTCAGACTAGTGAGATTCTTAGGCGGTGTCGTTGACAGGGCTTGACGACCAGCGGAAAGAGGGAGGATAGAAATCTAGAATGACTTTCAGGTTCTGGTTTGGGCAGCAACGCCGGAGTGCTGAGGTCGGAGCGGGGGCGGGGCAAGTCTGGGAGGATGAGGAGGACACCCAAGGGCCGGCTCTGTGGCGCAGTCCCGGAGACATCTGAGTGCATGTCTAGTGGCAGAGTTCGCCGCGCAGAGGGAGCGGTCGGCACAAGGGCGGTTGGGGAAGTTGCAAAGAGTTTCATGCGAGAAAGAAGAAGGCATGGGACAGAACGCTAAGGGTGGCTAAGAGCTGGAAGGTAGCAGAAGGCTAGAAGCCTAGGAGAGAAGTTCAGAGGTGGCCAGAGAAAGACAGAAAAGTCCGGGGCAGAAGACTATGTTTCCAGATGGCCAGTGGAGTTGGTGCTGGCAATCACGTGACCAGGGAGAAGCGTTTCAGTGAAGAGGTGGGAACGGAAGCCTGTACAAGGGGCTGAAAAGTGAACTCATAAACGAACACCCCGGCAGCGGGTAATGTGTGCACCAAAGGATTAATGAAACGCGCCCAGAGACGGGTAACTGCAGTGTAGGAGGCCATTCCAGGCCTTGTATGTGTACATGTGCATGTGTTAGTTCCTGGGTACTGAACCAAGGGGTGTTCTACCAGCCTCTAAAAGGGCTGCATCCCTAGCCCTTTTATTTTTTGAGATGGGGTCTCACTAAGTTGCCCAGGTAGGATTCAAACTTGCAGTCCTCCTTCCTCAACCTCCCAAATTCTGAGATTACAGGCATGTGCCACCTTGCCTAGGTCCAGCTGGAACTTTCGCAGAATTTTGCCTAAGGCCTTAGAATTTTGTTGAGACGTATGTCACTGGAGGGGTGGTAGCGTTTTAGACTTGCTACAGCAAGCACGCTCATCACTGCACTGAAAGGTTAAGAGCAGGTCTCTCACCACCACCACCACCACTCTCCCAAATAGAGGTTCAAAGTCCATCAGCAGATCAGCCACAGGTAATTTTTATACTTATGAAAGAACATGTTTATGAGAAACAAAACAATGAAAACTACAACAAAATTGAAATGGGATTCCAGAGAAAACCGTTATTCTTATTGCACTGAAACAAATTCAGCCATCAAAGTTGTTTTCCAAAAACCTGGGGCACAGAATGCTGTTCACGGAGGAGCCAAGCTGACTACACCGCAATAGGAATATCCAATTCAAAAAAGAATGAGAACGGCAGAAAGCATGTGTCGGTGGAAACTGATAGGAAACATATAAAATCCAGAATGATCATCTGGTGTTTGGTTCATTGCTGCTTTCTTATAACTGCAAAAATGAGACATTACTGGGTAAGGCAGTAAAATGACAATACAGGGTGTTTTATTCGGTATGTGGGATGCCTTAAAACAGCGAACAGCCCTCTCAGTGCCAGCTTTTTGAAAGATGGTATGTCCAGAAGAGCCCTCTTGCTTGTATGGCTTTGTCCTTTGTTCTTCATACATCATCCCGTTGTCAGACCGTGAGAATTATTTTCCAGAATAACAGGATGCCGCTCTCAGGCAGATTTTTAAAATGCTGTCATATATGCATATTGCCAGCAGTACCTTGGCTGCCTTTTCCTTGGGTGGGTGGAAGGAGATTTGGAGGAGTATTTTCATTCTTAGCTCCTTTCCTAACCTTACTCTGAAGAATAACGCCAGGAAATAAGTTGAAGGTAGCTACTGTTTGTCACATTCCTCCGGCTCCTGCCTCGATCATAGAAAACTCACGTTCTCGATGGGCAGAGATGATTTTTGAGCTGAGGTGGCTTGCCCTTCCTGCGGAGGTGGTAGTCATGGTTCTGACAGCAAATGTAGGAAAAAGGAGAAACAAATCAAGGGAGAAGAGAGAAAAGCCAGCCTGCATCTCAGGTCATCTTTTTCTTGGTTTGACTTAGCTGTAACTCCAGAGAGCTGATGGACCCTCTAAATTGGCACTAAGCACCTGCAATTCTCTTCTCCAGGGTTTAAAATAGCTCCCAAATTAGAAAGGAATTGCAAGGGCCTCCCTTGTTTTGAAGGGTGCATGACCCAGGAATTTTAAAACATTTTTCACAGGACCATTGTCTTGAACGACCCAAAGAAGAGGAATGCACTGTCACTCGAGATGCTGAAATCTCTCCAGAATGATATTCGTCATGAAGCTGACAGCAAAGATCTGAAAGTCATCATCATTTCAGGTATTTATCTGATGTTTACCCCTAGAGCTTTGCACAGGACAGAAATGGTTTCTCAAAAGTCTTTGGTTAACCGGGGAGTTCCTTCCTTTAACTGGAGAGCTGTTTTGAAGTTCCTTTGAGAGAGCTTTGTTATGGAAAACTCATATAGTTGGCAACTTAGTACCAACACTACTAACTGTGGAAATTGTAGCACAAAATACTGTGTGGTGAAAATGTGTCTTTTCTTTTTTGTTAGATGCTAGAAATTGCCACATTTTGCTATGCTTGTGTTCCGATTAAAATCAGAACGTCAGGGCTTGGAGTGTAGCTGAATTGCTAGAGTGCTTGCCTAGCAAGCATGAGGCTCTGAGTATGTTCCCTAGAACTGAAAAAAAATACAGAATTTCTTCATGCGCCTTATAAATAATCCTTTTGGTAGATCATAAAGTCAGCTAGGAAATGGTTGCTTGGGCGTTGGATTGGTTTGCCTGTCCTGTTCTTACCAGGCCTTACGTTTGATTTCCACAATGCTGTCTGTAATGGGGCTGAGAACATGTGCATATTTTGCCCATGTCTTCCCTTGCCCTTTTTCCAGTCTGGGTTATTCAAGAATTATCTTTTCGTGTGATGCTGGTGGGGGCATAAATAATAGTCATGTCAGCATTTTCAAGCACCCTCAGGGAAGAATAACAAATAATGCTCTGTGATGCTTTGTTTTGAGAATTAAAGATCTAGAGCCAGATCCTCAGAACGTTACCTGCTTAGCAAACAGACTTTCATGCTTTGTATGGCACAGGGAAAGGAAATTAGAGTAGGATTCGGCAGCCATGTGAGGCGTGATCTGGGTGCGGCAAAGGTCTCTAACTGCTTAGCTGCACCTGCACCAGTTCTTGCTTGCAAAAGAGAAGATGCTGTCCCGGCCAAAACAGCCACACAGAAGAAGGAATATGAGACAGTGTCACCAGCTGATGGGGGAATGGCACCTGCTGCTGATGACAGTGGCAGCAGCCACAGTCTCAGCTCCCTCCTTTATCAAACAAAGAGCTTGAGCCAGACAGCGCCCACATTCTCTTCATCCTCCGATTTCCCGGGTTCCGCCCCGTGGATGTCCCCACCTGTGTGCTAAGCGACGGGGCCAATGCCCCGGGCATGGCAGATTTCAGTAGACCTGCGCAAGTCCACACACTCAGGCCAGATGGAGTCCAGAATTTAAAAAAGACCTTCACCTTGGTCACAGAGGATTTCCTTACGCAATTGCTTATCTTCATTGATTTCCACCATGGGCCTTTGGGAGACAGGGCTTTGGCATTTTATCACCATGCTCTGTCTGTACCTCTCCAGGCAAACTGGCATTGTTCTCATCAAAACTGAGCCATGAACCTTCTCTCTAAGTGTCTGCAAGCTAGACAGTCTGTGATTGGTTACTGAAGTTGTGTCTCTGAAGTTTGACAGCTTTTTCTTTTCTTTTCCCAATTGGAAACGTTTGTAGCTGAGGGCCCTGTGTTTTCTTCTGGACATGACTTAAAGGAACTGACAGAAGAGCGAGGTCGTGATTACCACACTGAAGTATTTCAGACGTGTTCCGAGGTAAGCTAGGGTGACGGTCAACACTGCAAACCACAAGTGACCGTTATCATTGAGTTAGCCTTCTGGTTCACAGGTAAGCTTTCATGGACAAGAGCTAACCACTGAGCCGCTGGAAACTCTGTGACCATTGCCGGTCCTTCATGCGAACTGTGATTTGGTTTGACCTGTGAGGAGTGATCACAGTTTGCTACTCAAGGCCACATATACAGTGGCATGCACAGCTGCCCTCTCCGCTGTGGGTGTGCCCTGGCATGAATGCTTTGAGTAGGAAGCAAAAGGTGGGAATGTATATCTGTAGAGGGAAAGAACCTATGATTATGATAATCTTTAAAATTTAAAAACTAAAGCAGCCCTGTTAATGGGAAAGAAACAACATTTGTACATAAAAATGGTAATTTTAAAAAATAATTTTATTTTAAAGAAAAACCAAACAGAATTTCAAAACAAGATGACAGGAGGGTGACAGCGGTTAATACATTGCATATTGTTATCTTTAAATTAGATATCTCCTACTCAGAGTACAAGATGTCAGCATTTAATTGTCCAAACAATATTAGCACAAACCTTTCTTTTCAATGAACTAAGAAAAATTAGTAGAATAGCTATGTGAACTATCTTTTATATATATTTTTTTCTTTGTGCTTTTCCCTTCCTTCCTTTCTCCATTCCCCCAGCCCAGTTTTTCTTTCCTTTTGAAGTTTCTTCCCATTTCACAGTGTGCTGTACACTTTGGATCTTACTTACTCTTTCAGCTTCTCACACTAGGGCGACAGTATGATGCATACCCATGTGCGTCTGGATTATTTCACTTATGAGTAGGGCCTCAAGTTGAGTCTATTTACCTATAGAAGTCTCCAGTTTATCCTTCTTTATGGTTGAGTAATACTCCACTATATAAAAAGACGACATCTTTTTTATCCATTCCTCAGTTGATGGGTATTTGGGATGTTTCCAAGATCAATGATGGTTTTCAAAGGTGTTTTTTGTTTTTTAACTTTTTTGTTTTGTGAGAGAGGATCGAACTATATTGTCCAGGTCTTGAGCTTGCTGTGTGTGTAGCTCAGGCTGGCCTCAAACCCATGATCCTCCTGCTGAGTGCTGGGATTACAGGTGTGCACCACCACGGCTGGCTCTAAAGTTAATTTTGAACAAACCTTTATAAACACCACCTCCAAGAAGGTAAACTGACCTCTTTAATTTCACTTTTCTGCCCCTTTTACTGTACTAAGGAGAAAAATTGCTAAGAGCCCTGGGAAGAAGTACACGAAATTTTGCGCGATTTATAAATCAACGCCGGGTAACAAGACGTTGAAAATGGAACGTAACTTGAAGTAACACATTGTTCACTTGATGAGCATTTATTGAGCACCAACTTCAACATCATACCTACAGGTTACTGAGGGAAATTCAAGGGGGAAAACGTTTCCTGCCAAACTGAAACTAGAGTCCACCTGAGAAACAAGCCGTGCCGGACAGTTTCCCAACCTGCCCTCAGCCACCTCGGCCTCGGCACTCACTCGTCTGCCCTTCCCTTGGCTGTTCATCCCTCAGCATGGGTTAGGCAGGCGAGCAGGAAGGCGGCGGGACACATTCCTGACCATTTTTTCTCCTCGCCCTTCCCGAAACTCAGGAGCAGGTCGGATTGCACTTCTCTCATTTTGCGGAAGGCAGGGAGGAGAAGCGATTCATGTGAAGCTGCATGGCGTAGTGGAAGCCAGCGAGAGCGGAGACTTTCGTTTCCTACATTAATGATGTTTATAGGATAATCTGCTCCTAGGTTTGCCAAGGCTTGGTGCTTTAAAAATTGAGTTTTCACAAATACACAGCACACGTGGTTAAAATAGAAAAGCGTTCGGTGAACCAGCAAAGCCCTGTACCCTCCCTAACGCAGGTGCTGTTTCACTCTTCTTCGGTGGCTGACGGGCTGAGATCTGAATAGGTTGGCAAAGGGCCGCGTGGGGCCCAGGGCTGCTTCAGAGGGTGAAGGCCGCGGCCACCCCTGACTTGCTGGGGAGAGTCAGTGCGTGAGCAGAGCCCAGCCCTGGAAGTGAAATGGGAGTGCAGGAGTGCTGATTTCTTTAACACTGTTTCTAAGACTTTCAAATTGTCCCGGATAAATATGAGCGTCCTGAGCTTGTGCAAGATTTCAGTTTCCGAGTGTAATCAACAAGCAGGCCTGGAGCAGAGCAAGCCAGCTATTTCATTATGCAGTTCATACGCGAGGAAATTTGATTTTGCAAAGGGAGATGGAGGTATCAAAATCAGCTCACCATCCAGAAGCTTATGGCAGATTTGTTGCAGATCACAAGTACTGCCTAATGGTTAATAATTTACAAATCAGGACTAGGGCCAGAATGACAAGTACTTGGTTGCGAAAGGGCTCAGGTGACTTTCTGGGGCAGTGGCTTGGGGCTCACCCTGGAAGCTCCATGCCCCTGCCTCCCTCCTTGCACCCTGGTGAGCGTTGGAGGTGGAAACGCTCATTCATCAGAAGACTCTTCTAACACCTCACCAGTTACGCGGCAGTGGGACAGCGATGCTTCCTTTCGGAAACGACTCGGAATCCTCAGTAATGCCTTCAGGTGCGGCCGGGGAGGAGTTTCGTTAGTGTCACAGTTTGGAGTAGGTGGAACCAAAAACAGTACTCAATTCAGGACGGTCAAATAGAAGGCGTAACCGACTCTCGACTAGCAAGGCTTTGATTATCCTAGCATGTTCATTTTCTACATTCCCTTTGTCTTTTCTGAACTTCTCACTAACTCTATTTAAAATAGTATGAACTATGAAAATAAGAACTTATTACAGAAAATTTTGAAAATCTAGAAGAACAAATAAGAAACAAAAAAGAAATAAGAACAAATAAGAAAAATAAAATTACTAATGCAATGCCATAATCATACCCCCAGAGAAAACTGATACTTTGCTATGTTTATTTCTAATAATTTTTTCTATGTACCTATATGAATAATCATATATATGTGTATGATTTTGTATAGCAATATCGTTAAAGCACTGAATGCTATAATCTGTGTGCCCAGTAATATTTCTAGTACTCTGGACATAGTAGTTTATATAATTGTTATGTTCTGTAAAGTGGGTGCTAACATTATGCCCACTTTACAGATGTGAAAACTGAAGAGTTAGGTGACTTGTGTAGAGTTAGGCAATAAGGAAGCACGGCCTGGGCGGCAGACTCCAGCAGCCTGACTCCAGAATGTTACATAAGCCCGGCACCACCATGCTGGTACTTCCCTGGGAAATTCTCGTTTTATTTAGAGCGCTGCATTTGACTAAGTGGATGCAGTTCAGTTTGCATAGCTATTGTATTAGCTTTGTGTCACTTCAACAAAATACCTGAGGCGATTAATTTAAGAAGAGCAAAGTTGTGCTTAGGAGACTCAGGTCCAGGATTGGGCCCTGGGCGAGGGCGCTGGGCGGCAACAGCAGGGAGAGGGGTCCAAGCAAACGGCTCACATCGCGAGCCCAGGAGCAGAGAGGCCCAGGAGGAGGCCAGGCCCCCAAAGCCCTTCTGAGAACACCCCACCGTGCCAAAGGGCTGCTCCCAGCTCCCCCCACGGGCTCCTCAGCCTTCCCGTAGCTTGGCCTGAGCACCAAGCCTGTAACCTCCCGGCAGACTTTGGGGCAGTGATACGGTGCTTGCACTAGAAACTCTCCCCCGCATGACAGCAGCCATCTGCTTATCCCCAATCACTTGTATAATTTATAGATTTTTTTACTGCTGTAAAATAATGATTTGGTGAGCACCTTTGACTGTAGAGCTTTTTACCTATTTCAGATTTTATTTTAGAAGCCGAATTCATATATCTAAGGTATAAGCATGTGCAGTGCTGTTGGATATATACTGTATGATCTAAATATGCTTCTGCCAGATCCTTTGAAATCCTAGCCCCTCAGAGATGGCAGGCAGGATACACGAACCATTCAACTGCAGTCCCAGCGGGTGGGCTTTTCATGCGTAGCCCCAGTTCCTGGGGGATGGAGGAACTCGCAGAACCAAACCTCTCCTTTCTTCACGGCAACTTTTGAAAGTCTTATTAACTGCGCCCTTGTTTTTCCACTTCACTGGGAACAGCTCCATCTGTAACCCTCGGGCATCCCCCAGGGTGTGTGAACTTCACAAATCCATGGGTGGTGTGTGGAGAGGTGTGCACATGCGTGTGTGTACATTTTTCTGAGGAGAGGGTCATTAACGTTTACCAGATTCTCAAAAGACAAAAGATGACCCTACCTCCCAGAAATATAAAGAGTACAATAGAATATAATACACTAGCCTAATACACAGGCATGTGTCCTTAACACTGAGGAGACGTTCTGAAAAATATGTTTAGGTGACTTCATGATTAGGCAAACACAAATGTCTGAAAACTGCAGGCGGGTGTGGTGGCGCATGCCAGCACCCGGAAGCCAAAGCAAGAGGATTGCTGTGAGTTCAAGGCCAGCCTGAACTGCATAGCAAGACCGTGTCTCCAGAAATCAAAACAAAAAAATAGTATAAGAGCCAGAGTGTATCTCAGTGAGAGCATGTGCTTAGCGTGCGCAAGGCCCTGAATCCAATCACCAGCACCAAAAAAAAGTATAGTATAATAAATACATCAACCAGTAACATAGTCACTTATTTTCATTGTCAAGTTTTTTGTTTTTTTTTTTAAAGAGGGAAAGGTTTATTTAGCTCACAGTTTGTGGATGTTTCAGTCCATCATCAGCTGGTCCAAGGCAGCGTGGCATGGCTGAAGGGTGACAGTTTGTGACAGTGGAAGACAGCAAAAGCAACAAGAGCAAAAAGGGAGGAGACATTGTCAAGTATTCGGTATGGTACCTAACTGTACACTTTTATAGGACTCACGGTGCAGTGGGCGTGTTTACACCTGAATCACCACAACCGCATGAGCAGTGCCTTGCCACTACACGCTCTCTAGATGAGAGGAACTTTTCAGCTCCATGATAGTCTTAGGGGGAGCTACCACCATACATACAGTTTGTACTTGACTAAAATGTCATTATGCAGTGCCTAACAATATAACTGGTTATTTTAGAGAAGAAGCTGATAAATATCAAATGTTTATGAGTATAAAAGATAAGTTTCCTAAGGCAAAATCTTCCAATCAGTGAAGGTCATTTTTCTTTCAATTGCTGCCTTGGGAAAAAACCCAGATGTAGTTTCTGTCTTACTTCCTTCCCTGCCAGGGTTCAAAGAGCAATAATTTTAAAATTGAAGTTGCCATAGCAACACAATCTGTTTAGAGTGTCATGAAAAAGCTAAGCTGCAAAGATAAGTGAAAGTTCTGGCAATTTATGGCTGCAGGGGTGACAGGAGCACATTTTCATCTCTCTTCTTGGTGCCAGTGGCTCCGTTTTAAAAATTCTGTTTATTTTGATGACAGCGGGGTGTCCCCCCTCCCCACTTTAACTTAATAGTCTTGAGAGAGTATCCGTGGTGGTAATTTGAGAAGTAATCACTGAGGAAATTGCCTTCAAGTCCCTTTTCCCTCTTAATTTTTCAAGGGATCACCAAATACTAATTTCAGAGTTTTAACCCAAGGACGTCACACAGACACAAGGAGAACAGAACTATTTGTGAAGGGTTTTGTTTGCTTTTCAGAGACAAAACTCCTCACTGTTCCTCAGTGGGGGCGCTGGGGAACTAGAGGGGGAATGTCACCTCTGCCTCCCCCACAGTTAGCTGGCAGGGGGCCTGCGGCAGGTAACCCTCTCTCTCCGAGCTTCCTGGTTTGTGCCAAATGGGGCTCCTTTCTCATGAGGTTCTGTGAAAGCCCAAATGATAAAGTCTGGTCCACAGTAGATAACAGAATATAGGTTAGTGCTTTGTGTGTTTTCTTTCATTTTTTTTCATAGAATCTGATGAACTACTGCACGTGAAAAGCTCTGGAAAGAGATAAAGGTATGAGGATGGCTCCTGCCTCTGCACGGAGTGACGTGGGGTGTGTGTTCCTGCAGGTCATGATGCTGATCCGGAACCACCCTGTCCCCGTCATTGCCATGGTCAATGGCTTGGCCACAGCTGCGGGCTGCCAGCTGGTTGCCAGCTGTGACATCGCCGTGGCAAGCGACAAGTCCTCCTTTGCCACTCCTGGAGTGAACATTGGGCTCTTCTGCTCCACGCCTGGCGTGGCCCTGGGGAGAGCGGTGCCCCGAAAGGTAATCTAAGTTCCTTCCAGCCCTCCTCCAGATGTCATCCTCCAGTGCGCATGAAATTTCTGAATTACCTTGGTTTTTTGTTGTTGTTGTTCATTGGTTTGTGTTTTTGAGGGTTTTTGAGACAGGGTCTGCACCATACATACCAGGACATTCCGCCCAAAGGCCTTCTGGCTGAATGTGCTTGTTCCTCTGTAGTTCGTACAGTGGGTGTCTGTTTGTGGAGTCACCACATTTCAATCCTGCATGGCCCAGTACAGTGGCAACAGCAAGCAGAAACACCACAAGGACTCCCAGGATCTGGAGGCAGATTTATTTGTGTCAGTGGGCACCCATCAGGATCATTCTCAACATCAGGCCCTGATCTTTGGTGGTCTGGGGCTTATATGAGATAAGCAGGCAGGAAGTACAGAGGCAGAATGGCTTGTCAACTGGGGATCGGTTTATGCAACGTGCATCATAATGCCCAGCCCTCCCTAAGAGACAGGAGCAACTGGAACTGGAACAGGAAGTGTTACCTGGGCAACTAACAAACGGAAGGGTACTGGCTGGGGCAGTGTTTTCTGCTACACAGCTAGTTAGGTTTTTTTGATTGGCTTGTTTTTATAAAGTCAAAATATTATTGTAAATCTTATCTGAAATGCAACTGAAGCTGTTTTGTTGCACTGAATGGTGGCCTGTGAGATGTAACGGCGCCCTAACACAGTATCAGGAGGCCGGGACTGCATCACTGGCCGGCCCCTTGCTGACAACCTCTCCTGCTCAAGAAAGGACGCAGTAGCTGAGCGTGCTGGGTTTACAATAGCTGCCTTTCAGGTACATGAATATCCTGTCTGTCCAACAAGGAATCGTTACAAAGTTGTCTCCTTGTTGCTAACCGCAGTGACTTCCACACTCATCACTTAGCTTTCTTCCTTCCTGCAACAGCTAGAATATTTACTGAACATCCCTGAGGGGACCCAGCAGTGTCCTTGCTCTAGTAAAAGGACACCCTCATTCTCAGCTGGAAATCTGTAAAAAGGGGGAGATCATATATGCAGCGCTGAAGTGCTGTTTGGAGTATATTTTCTACTTTAGTAATGACTACAGGAATTAGCATCTGCTCACATGCCTAAGGCACCGAAGAAATGAGACCCGAGGGCAACCGAGCAGCAGGGCCAGTGAGTTTCGGAAAGGGCTCCTTTCTTCCCTAACGCCCCAATGAAGACTTTGCAGAAAAGTGTGTTTGTGAGGAGGCTCTGAAGACGGTTATGTGCAAGCGCACCTCTTCTGAGGTGGGCTGGAGGTGGCTCCGTGCGGCCCAGCAGGGGTGCTTTTGTTTCTGTCAGAATAGGTATTAAATGTGTAGGTGTGCATTAAACTAGCATCTTCAGCTGCTGCTTTGTGCCAGCACACTAAAGGGGACGCCCAGGCCTCCTCGGGAGCACCCGACCCCTGCCTGCCGGGGCTCCCCAGCGGCGGGCGGGGCGCGTGCG